CCTGGAAAGACTGACAGCTAGAAAGCTATGGAATAGTTCTTCTCTGTCCTATAGGGTGGCTATGAATTAGGATCGACTCAATGACACTGATTAATGCACTATGTCAAAGTAAGTTGCAAACTGAAATTCTAATACTAATATATCAGGTTGTTCAGTGATACTGAGTTGATTTTCAACTCACAGTGACCTCACATGACAGAGCAGAACTGCCCATATGGTTTTGAAGGCTGTCAATCTTTAGGGAAGCAGACTGCTGCATTTTTCTCCCTTGGAGCAGCTTTGTTGTTGGTGTTAGGTGCCATCGAGTCGATACCGACTCACAGCACCCCTGTGCACAACAGAACGAAACACTGCCCAGACCTGTGCCAACCTCACAGTCATTGCTATGCTTGTGAGCAGCAGCCCATAGCTGCTGCTACTGTGCCACTGTGAGGGGTCTTCCTCTTCTTCTCTGACCCTCCACTTTACCAAGCATGATGTCCTTCTCCAGGGACTGGTCCCTCCTGACAGCATGTCCTAAGTATGAGAGATAAAGTTTGACAATCCTGACTTCCAAGTAGCACTCTGGCTACACTTCTTCCAGCAGAGATTGGTCTATTCTTTTGGCAGCCCATGGCACATTCAATATTCTCCTCCAACACCATAACTCAAATGCATCAATTCTTTTATCGTTTTCCTTACTCACTGTCCAACTTTCACATGCATATGAAGTTATTGAAAGCCATACCATGGCTTGTGTGAGGTGCACCTTAGTTCTCAAACTGACATCTTTGCTCTTGAACACTTTAAAGAGGACTTGTGCAGCAGATTTGCCTAATGTAATACATTATTTGATTTCTTGACTGTAGCTTCTACGAGTGCTGATAGTTGGTGCAACTAGGAGGCCCAAACTCTCACTTTTGGTTTAGCAGTCAAATGCTTAAACCCACTGTACTAACAGGGCTCCTTACCATTATGTAACTTAATGGCAGACTTTCATACTTCTTAAAATAATAGAAACAAATGCTTAAACCCACTGTACTAACAGGGCTCCTTACCATTATGTAACTTAATGGCAGACTTTCATACTTCTTAAAATAATAGAAACAAAGAAAGATACATTATCCAGCAGGGAGTTTAGACTGTGTTCTTGAAAGTCCCTGCCATTTCTTCAGAATACACACAGGATCCACATGACGATTAGAGGAGAAGAAATGAGTAATACTAAAGAACATTAAGTACATGAAGACTACCAGTTGTGAACTTAGATTTGTAAATCTTGCCATTTAAATGTATGTGACTGTGTCGTGTGTGTTCAAGATACAAACAACCCCAAACCACTCATTGCCATCAAGTTGATTCCAGTTCAAAATGACCCCATGAGACAGAGTAGAGCTGCCCTCAGAGGGTTTCCAACGCTGTCAGTCTTTACGGGAGCAGACAACATCATCTGTTTACCAAGAAGCAGCTGGTGGATTTGAACTCATGACCTTTTGGTTAGCAGCCATGTGCTTAACCACTCCTACAATTCTCCCTGAAACCAAAACCAAACCCATAGCCATCAAGGCTATTCTGAGTCGCAGGGACCCTATAGGACAGCGCTCCGTAATTACAGGGCTTCTGAGGTTGTCAATCTGTATGGAGGCAGACAGCCTCATCTTTCTCCAGAGGAGAGGCTGGTGGGTGTGAACCACTGACCTTTTGGTTAGTAGCCCACCTTTTAACCCACAGTGAAACCCAAGCATTCGAAATTTTTTAAATGAAAAAATGAAATGCCAAGTTAAGTAGGAAAATGGCTAACTGAATAGTTAAAGGCCTAACTGATCAAAAATCTTAATTTGGCTGGCACATGTGGACGTACAAGTCACTGCCACAGCCCATTACTTTCTCTCTTGTAAATTTTGTAAAGTCCCTGCTTATCACAGGTATCCTGAAGATCAAAGGGTATCATGTGTAGCTGTCTCCCACTAGTTCAATTTGCAGAAAGTAATATGCTGGAAAGTTCTGGTGATCATTTTCAGAAAAACCCTTACTTCAAACGCGTTTCAATGAGAAGGCAAACAATAGTTAATTTTCGTTGTTCTAGAAAAATACAAACCTCCGGAATACAGTCATATAGACCAATCCCTCTAACACGGTCTCATATTCCGAAAAGGGCTCCCAGGCCCAACCATTAGAAAAATTACATATACTTATTTGGAAATAAATTCACCTTACCTGAAAGAGAGTTGGTAGCACATGTTTCTTGGCTAGATGACTTTGTACATGCTCCACAGCTTGCTTTGAGAATGGCTTTTAAGAATCAAAAACAGTATTTTTTTTTTCATACACACATAAATGACAATCAAATTTAAGCTTTTACGTGGTGTCCAATATCACAATAGATCGTTCACATGACGTTTATTCAACAGTATATAGGGTAACTATAGTGACATGAGATGTTTAAAAACCTGTTGGATTTTGTTGTTGTTAAGTGCCATCAAGTTGGTTCCGACCATAGCAACTCCATCTAGGGTTTCCAAGGAGCAGCTGGTAGGTTTGAACTGCCAACCTTGCAGTTAGCAGCTCAGTGCTTGTCATTCTGGGCCTCCAGAGTTCTGCGACAAGAGGCCCAGAAAGATGATGAACAGTTGGGCACACTGAATCCCACAAGATTGCCACAATAATGAAGTGTAAAAAACCTTGTGTGGCATCGAGTTGATTTTTGACTCCTGTCCCATAGGGTTGTCTAGGCTGTCGTATTTATGGAAGAAGATTGCTAGGGTCTCCAGGGTCTTCCTCCCACAGAAGTGCTGGGTAGTTTGCACCACCAACCTCTGGGTTACCAGTCAAGCATTTAACCTCTGCATCACCAAAGTTCCTTGTAAAGAATCCAACTTTCACCTTATTAGATGTATGTGTCCCTGAATTAGCTGATCAGGTAAGATCTCTACTCTATATGAGAAAATGAGTGTAAGAAAATGTACCTAAGAATAAAAACCCAAGATTGCAAAACCAAGGCAGTGTGGGAAAGGAACCCTCCAGGCTAGACAGTCTTCCCTCTAACCACAGCAGAGCGGAGGAGAACGGACTCTACAAGAGGACTGGCACTTCTGCCGGTAACAATTACAAACCGTATCCTCCCCCTCAAAACTTCAGACCATGACTTCTTTTATAATGTCCAAGAAAGAAGACTGAAAAATCACACCAGACTGTGGAAATCCCTGTAAATTACCAAGCTACTGGAAAAGCAAGTTTATGAAGTCTTCCCCATAAGCTGGAGCAACCTCTAGACCTCCTTTCAATTGCAAGTGAAGTGGGTCTAAACTATGTGCACTCTTTGTTAGCCACTGTTATTCAAATGGCCAATAAATAGGGATTGTAAACAACAACAGTCAAGACACCAAAAAGGTGAGCAGCAATTTGAGTGTTGTTACAGGAACACTAAAATATATCATTGTTCTGGCCAGTGGAATGCTCTGTATGGCTCTGGGTTGTCCACGTGTGGTAACCGAGCACTTGAAATGGCACGCACAAGGAACCAGGGAACTAAAATTTTAATTCCACTTAATTTTGTTTTTAAATTAAGCTACAATTAAGTTAAAAAGCTGCAGGTATTAGGCAGGAGAGTTGGGCTATTCTTCTGGAAAATGGTCTTAATGGAGAGAAAATCACACGGTGAATTTTCAGCCACTTACAACTGGTGGAATCATTTCCTAGGAGCCTAGTTCACCCTTAGGATTGAATATTTATCGGAATTACAAGAAAAAAATTATACCAAGTATCCGAGCTAACAACTGACAACTAAAACGAACACAATCATTGCAATCCTTATCAATCCAAAGAAGCCACTTACGATTCCTATTTAGCAATATGGATTGGTGGTGATGGTTATGTGCCATGGAGTAGGTTCCGACTCACAGTGACACTATATAGGGTTTCCCAGGCTTTAAATCTTTACCGGAGTAGAAAGCCTCATCTTTCTCCCACTAAATGGCGGGTTGATTCAAACTATTGACCTTGCAGTTAGCAGGTCATATAACCCGCTATGTTACCAGAGCTCCTTAATGTTTGATAAGTCTGATTATTTAAGTAGGTAGTAAATGACGGGGGATGAGGAGTGCTCACTTTCCTTTACTAACACTCTATTATTAAGACTAACCTCTTCTTCAAGTGGTGCAAGTTAGCTATTTTATTTCATCAGTTTTTGCAGTAAGATTGTTTAAGCCTCTTAGATGTACACTAAGAATCCATAAAACAACAGAGTACCCATCTACTAACTTATGTTCATTGGTTGGTACTGATGTCATAGAGCAAAAAGATCTACTTACGTGTGAACAGGAGAGAAGCTCTTTCATGATATAGGTATCATAAATTTGTCGACTCCTACAAAGACGATCTTCCTCATTGTCAAGCTTTTCATATTCTTTTATCTGTATTTTTTTAAAGTGATCAAGGTTAGGCAAATCTACTTCGGAACATGGTTTATTAGAAGATATTACCAGCCCGGGCAGAAGCCATTTCCACATGATGTTAAAGCAAATTATGAAACCAGCTATTCCACAGGAAACCACAACTTTTAATGTTAAAATAATGAAGTTGGAGTCATTTAGACTGAACTAGGAATGTACAGATGTATTTTTTCCCTCAGATGCACCTCATTGCTTCAATGCAGAAACACAATATTAGAAAACAAATACTGCCAATGGTTATAATTATCCTATAATATATGAGCCACGGGCAATTCATCTCTGCCAATTCTCTTCTCCACAACACATGTAATTTAAATCTGGCTTTAGTTCTAAGAGTTAAGATGGAGGTTGTCTTCGTTCAAACTACAGTGCCACATGACAGGAAAAAAAAAAAATCGTCAAGATTCCTGCTTAGAGATTTATTTTTTAATCTACTAAAGCAAATCAATATTTTAAAAGGGAATTAATCCATAAATAAGAATACTGGTTTTTCATGATGTAACTTAATACACCCTATAAAAATATTAACAGAGAGGTTACTTGAAATAGTATATTTTGCTCAAGTTAAGAGAGGTTAAATCGCCTGCCAAATAATAAAATAAGCTTTAGAAATATTTGCCTTATGTGGAAACGGCTGCACGTGCTTTATAAAGTGAAAACAGAAAAGTCCTGGGTCAGAGAATTGTCTCCGTGTTATTTACAGAAAGAGCAAGAAAAGAATAAAAGCTCAACGTAAATATGGAGCTAATAGGACGAGTTCTGGGTGGGGTACATCAGTTGAGTGCTCAAATTCTACCAGAAAGATTGGTGGCTCAAACCTACCCAGGGTGTCTCGGAAGACAGGCCATCAAGTTCCTGAAGGACACAGGAGCACAATCCTACTCTGCACAGAAGGTGTCCCCATGAGTTGGAAGTGACTTACCTATTCAAGAACAGTTAAGAGCAAGACAGCAGACCTAATTAAGGAAGACTGCAGCAGAGCTCTTCAGCAGAATGACCGAATACAATGTGTCACTCATTTGGGGGAAAAATGTTTTCAAACACACCAAAACTAAACCAGTTGTCTTGAGTGGATTCTGATCACGTACTCACATAATGAGCGGATTCTGAGTCGGGTTTTCAATGGCTGATTTTGCAAAAATAGATCTTCACACCTCTCTTCTAAGGTGTCTTTAAGTGGACTTGAATCCATAACCACTCGGTTAGCAACAAAGCCTGAGAGCCATTTGTGCCACCCAGAGACTCAACACCACCACCACCCCCACCCCCGAGTCCCCTAGAGACACCAGTAATTCCAGTCGGCTAATTATTATACTGACTTCCATAATACTGGAATACGCTTTATTATTGATATCTTTATATAATTGATACCTTTATTATAGTATGATTTAAAAAACCCAAACCCACTGTCATTGACTCAATACTGACTCACAGTGGCCCTATATTGTTGTTGTTAAATGCTGTCGAGTCAATTCCGAACCACAGTGACCCTGTAGATAGAGGAAACTACTCCTTAGGGTTTCCGTGACTTTAAATCTTTCCAGGAGCAGACAGCCTCAACTGTCTTCCACAGAGTGATTGGTGAATGTGAACTGCCAATCTTTTGGTTCGTTGTCCAGTGCTTAACCCTCTGCGCCATCAGAGCTCTTGGAATGATCCAAGATGAGACTAACTACTCCTGTAGGAGGATGGTGGCTCTGTAGGCTAAACACTGGACTGTGAACTAAAAGATCAGTAACTCGAGCCCCCCAGCTGCTCCGCAGGAGGAAAACAAGGCTTTCAGTTGCCACAAAGATTTACAGTCTTGCAATCCATATACAGGGTTTCTAGGAATCAGAGTGGCACTTGACAACCACAGTAGTGGCTACAGAACAGAGCATAAACTAAATTCAAAGTAAAAGTGACCTTTTCCCTTTACAGTCTGGGTTCAACAGTTTCAAAATAAAGTCAATAAATCCTATAAGAATTCCCCCAAAAAAATAAAAGCACACGGGAGCAGGAGGAATGGCATGTATAAGACACTGTGGTCCTTTTGGAAAGCTAGTTGGTTTACACACTGAGAGGAATCTTTGGGATCATCTCAATTGTCCCGGGAGAACAACAATGTTTCACTAGGATAGCTGGAATTCACACGTCTGTTACAACCAGGTCTTAGCAGGTGCCACTGAGTCGGTTACGACACACAACGGCTGTATGCACAACAGAACGAAGCACTGTCCTGTACTGCGCCATCCTCACAGTTATATTTGGGCCCACTGCAGCTGCCACTGTTCCAATCCATCTCATTGAAGGCCTTCCTGTTTTTCACTGACCCTCTAGTTTACCAAGCATGATGTCCTTCTGCAGGGACTGGTCCCTCCTGACAACATATACAATGTATGTGAGACAGTCTGGCCATCTTCCTTCTAAGGAGCATTCAGACTGCACTTTGTCCAACACAGATTTGCTCATCCTTCTGGCAGTCCACATATATTCAATATTCTTTGCCAATACCATCATTCAAAGACATCAACTCTTCGCTGGTCATCCTTATTCACTGTCTAGCTTTCTTATACATAAGAGGAATGCCAGGTTTGGGAACGAACGTTGCTGGAACAAGCAATAAAATCAGACACAATGGCACTCAGACTGGTAGGGGTGGATAGGCTGATCCCCAATCCAAGAGAAAAAGAACATGTGTGTTTTAACATTATCCAAGTTTTTAGTATGAAGTGGGTGAAGGTTTACAGAGCAGATCAATTTTCCCTTCAACAATTCATACACATTTTGTTTCATCTCATTGACTGTAAACCCCTCAATGTAATAAATCATCCCTCTCCCTTCCTGTCTTTGCTGTTTCCATTCCTTCTTCTTTCCTAACCCTTCTGAACACTATCCTTGGACAAACGCAGCTCTTTTGATCTCTAATGTGTTGTATCTCACTCGGGTTATTCTTCTTCTTACAGACCGGTCTGCTGTTTACCTGAAAACTGAGCCATGGGGGTGAGCACAGTTACAGACTTGAGAAGACTGTTTTAATGAAGAACGTGCCCAGCAGTGTTGGCCTAACTAAAGGTCCTATGCTTCACCACCCTAAGTCAATTTAGGAAGACAAATGTAAAAACACGCAACATATTAGATGTAAATATGGTAGCTGCAAAGGGACAGAAGCAAGACACCAAAAGAGAAAAAAGTAAATATAGGTTTTGGGGCTTGGTGGATTCCTTTTGTTCTGTTTTGTCTTAGGCTGGACAAAGACAAAAACCAGGAGACTGGGATAAAACAAGTAGTTACAAAATCTAAGGTTCTTTCTCAACACATGGACAGTTTCATGAATCACTGCCCCTGAGAACAAGTGTGAGGAGATTTAAGTCTATGAGTCAGGGGCCTTTAGCAAATATTTCAGGTGCTGATTAAGTTGCTAATGCATCAGTTCCGGCTCATAGCGGCCCTGTGCACAACAGAGCGAAGCAGTGCCCCATCCAGCACCATCCTCACAATCGTCTTTATGTTTGAGCCCATTGTTGCCGTCACTGTAACACAGCAGAACAAGTGAATGAACCCCTGGCTGAGCAAACGCTGATTCTATGCAAGTTTCCACAACCTGTTCTACCATATAAAAAAAAAAATCCAGCTTCTTGAGTAAATGCTCTTCTGAATCCTAACACTGATTTTGCTAAGTTCCAGTGATGCTGTGGGTTAAATACTGGGCCACTAATCAAAAGGTTAGCAGTTCAAACCCACCAGCCGCTCTATGGAAGGAACATGAAGCAGCCTTCTTACATAAAAATTTATAACTCCAGAAACCCTATAGACAATTCTACTCTGTCCTATAGGGCTGTTACAAGCCGGAATTGTTTTGACAGTAATTGCTTTGGGCTTCTGAGGTTTATAAACTCCAAAACTTGGCCAAAAGATAAAAGTAACTTTTAACAGGCGAAGTACTGAAAGAATCTGTGGCTGCAATTCATAACTCATTTTCTACAGGGAATTTCTTATTACAGCATGCTGTGTGATTGTGTGCTGTCAAACCGATTCCTCCTCATAGCGACTCCACGTGGCAGAGAACTAACCCACAGGCTTCCCTAGGCTGTGAAACCCCACAGGGTTTCCTGTCTGCAGAAGCGCTTCCACGTGGTCACAGGGCTTCTTCATCACAGCCCCTCAACCTGGCACTTAGGTGGCCAGGTAACTTGATGCGTGAATGTCGGAGTTCAAGGTGAAAGACCTTCCCAATTCAGGATGGAAACTTTTTTTTTTGTCAATAATCAGTATCTACTTACCAAGCAGTGCCTTCCTGCATTGGTGGTTCCTACAATGTGTAGTCTAAGTAACTAGAGAGCAGGCACTCCTGTCCCACTTGTCATGGTCCCCGCTTCCCTGTCTCCCATCTGTCCCAGTACCGCTCCAGTAAGATGGTCTGGCAAAGTTATCCATGGTTTCTGCCTTGGCCAACCCAATGATCTCTTCTTTGACGTTAGCATCAGACTTTGCAGCAGGACAGAACACGGCTGTCTCCTCCTGCCTTCTGTGAAACTTTCCTCTCTGGACATCTGTGATGGGCTTCTCCAGGGTTGGCCTGTACTCACTCCTCTCTTTCTCGGTCTCCTTTGGTAGTTCTTTTGAGTCTCAGAGTATGATGCTGGGGCACCCCTGTTTAGTTAGCTACATTTCCTTTAGGCACAGCGATTCAGCCCTTCTCCCTCTATATAGAGGTAGAACCTACCTATCCAACTGCCTATTTAAAATGTCCAAGCTGAATGACTAAAAGCATGTCAAATTCAACCCATCTAAATAAAGCCCCTGAGTCCCACCTCCTCCCTACCACAGCCAATCATACTACTCCTCTGGTCTTCTTTACTACGAAATGGGGAAAACTATGCTCCAAGTTGCTTCAGTCTGAAAATGAGTAATCAAAATTGAGTCTACTCTCTTACTCACAGTCCTGCCATGAGGATCCTCTACATCAATTGCCCCATAAA